ATGATGATTTCTGGTAACAAAAACACTCAACCCTGCAAGACGTAAGGGCCGTTTTAGATAACTTGTATGATATACATACTCAACTAGTGCCATATTACTGGCCTCTCTTCTGACAGTCAATGACATCTTTGATTAGTTTTACATTGCACATATCTTAGTGTAAGTGCATTTCTAAACAGCAATTGCCACCAGCCATAGGGGATGAAGATCAATAAAGTAGCATGTGCAGGGATCTTTCCTCCCCACTGCTATGGCTTTTATAAAAATCCCCCTACCTTGTGGTTGCAATTTGACTCAGATGGGAAGGTTCCATGGCACCAATGGGAACTTCCTTCCCAACGTAAATTGGAGCTGTGGGGGCAGAAGGAGGAAGGGTTAAACCCCTATGCGTTGCAGTCCAGATCCACATCCACACACTCCAACAGTAAATTCTGTTTAAAAACTATCTTTACATTAAAATCTTAAAATACATTTAGTTTAATATCCAGATTTACACTAACAGAGAAGAACTCTGTAAATACTTAAGCTTGCCAGAATATTTGTGAACAGGTTTCACAGTTCACAATTCTCCATAGTCAAGACTTAGCTAATTCAATATTACTTCACTGAACATTTACAAACATTTCCTCCCAAAAAAGCATAAGTGTGTCTGTAACACCTCCTACTATTTTTAAAAATACCCATCAGGTATGCAATGAGGTCTGTATTAAATTACTTCCAAGAGAAAAGTGAACGCTTGTAATTTTGGAATATATTTATTGTACAAGTCTTATTTACAAGTTTATTGGGCAGGACAGCAGACAGATGATGTCTGATTGATCTGTACGGAATATAAATTTCCATGTTCTACCTATCCTTGAGAAGACAGTGTTAAGAATAACCATCTGTTTAACAAAAAGCAGCTTTTAATCTTCCTCATTCACATCAAATCACAATACTTTCTAAAAAGAAAAAGAATGAATTCAGTGACTTCAGTGACTATATGGGAGCTGCCAGGGAAGCAAGGTCATAGTGATAATTGAGCGATCACTTTTTCCACTTACTCCTTAAAATTCTCCATAAAGTATATTGTTGTATTGCAGAGAAAAACAGTATCAGTCTCTCAAAAAGACAAACTATCAGCAATATTTTGAGTGGTATGGATACTTCAGTTTAAGTAAAGAAAATACCAAAAGGAAATAAGCCAAGAAATGGAAGTGTAAGCAAATGAAAATAATAGTCCAAGCTGACTAAAAAAATACAGGAGAAAAAATATACATTAAAAATGATGAAGAAGTGATTATTGCAACTTGCAATTAGTTTGAAAGGAAAAAGATGTATAACAGATCTACCTTCTGCTGGAGAACAAATATTTGTTGGACGAAGAGTTCTGATTAATAATACTTGCTCCAAATCTATCCAATATGTCACTAGCCTAGTATTATATGATGACAGTTCAAAAAGCATTAAGCATTAAGAAGAACATGCACAAAAATAAATACTGCTGCTTCCCTCAAATTGCTGCTACATGAAATCAAAGGAAATCTTATCTGCTTATTAATACTTTGATTTATCTATCTCTTTGTGGCAGAGGATCAAAAATTAACCCGTAAAACTGAAGGAGCTTGAAAAGGAACAGGTTAACAAAGACTGTTAAGACAACATTGTGCTTCTTTCAGCATAAAGATACAGAATAATCTCTGAAGCACTATCAGAAATATTGTATAAACTTAATGAGAATTTTTGATGAAATCAATTAGCATTGCAATGATTCTTTTTGCGTGAAAGTGAGATACATTTATCAAATCCAAATAGCTGCCCATTTCACTAGTGATGCATAACAAATATGGTCCTATTTACTCAAAACTCAGAATAAATGTAAAACTAAGCTAGGAGTAATATTAAAAGAACACTTAAGACAAAATTCCAAATGAGCTATATTTGAAATAATAAGAATTCAAATTCCGCATATATTCCCTCTTCCCTATTTTTTCCAGAGGAAGGTACACTAGTGTTTTATTCCTGCATTGGGATAATTGGTTCAGTGGTACGGTATATAATGCATTCTCCCAAAGTGTTCACCTGCACCATTTCACACTTTAAATTGTTTTTCCCAACCTAGTTTTGTGGTAGCTTTTCAGTGACAGAAATTTCCTTGCACTTTCAAATTAGGATAGCAACACTGAATACTGTAACTAACATCCAATGGTGGAATAGATTTACAGCTAAATCCTGTTTTGCATAATTTTCTTTAACAGGGGTGAGGGGATTCTACAAGAAAGAAATCCATAGTTGCTTTTCCTTGTAAGGTTATATTTTATCCTGTTCCTAAACAAAAGAGAAGTAGGAAATAATTACAAAATCTTACAAATTTTCATTCCAATAGCATTTTATATGTATGTGCTGGAACTCTAAAAGCAGGCACAGCTATGATAATTTGAAAAGTAAAGTTACTGAAACAGTAACATTATTAAACCTACAGGTTTACTGCCTGCATAAAGCAACATGCATTTCTGCTTACTGAAAAATTGTGCATTTATTTAACTCATTAGATTCATCAATCTGAAGAGAAACCAGAGTATTAATCAGACTTTTTAGGTACAATTCATGGTGCTGTAGTACTGTTTCCTTCTCATATTTACCTCACAAGAACAGTCCAATGTTGTGGGTTGAGCTGAGAGGATGACTGTCCAAAAATTATCCAGCTGGTTTTCATGAACTACAACTCAGTTTCCTGGTTTCTAGCCCAGTTTAATTATTAAATGAAACTGATTCTTGAATAATTATCTTTGAAAAATATTTTGTGAATGAAGGCAAATATACGTGTCCCAGGATAATGTTGCAGGATCCAGTGCACATATCCTGGAGATTGAGAAGTTCCCTGAAGATCGGCTCCAGCACAAGTCCAAAAGCTTGGAAAAACAAACCCTTGGTCCCAGGACCTTGAAAATATCTACCTGCAATATCTATCTGAAAAGGCAACTTTTCTATCTGAAAAAAGGCAACTTTTTGGCTCTACTGCAATTGCAGTGTTATGGTGGGACATGGTCATACTGCAACATCAATGGGAAAAAAACCAATAAAATATTTCTAACTGAGTCTACTCTTCCCTTAACTGGAACACAGTGCATTATGAGAGGCACTAAATAATACTGTAAACAATATTAGAGGCTAAATGCTGCATTTGTAAATGTTTAGCCATTAAGTGGCAATTGTGCTTGGGGGAAAAAGTACTGATTTCTCAGAAATGGAAGCGAGTTTGATGTGGATTATATTTTATAATAGCATTATATGAACCATATCTTTAAAACTACTAGATCAGTAATGCTAGCTGTCAGAGATGGCTTAAAAATATTAAATACTTAAATAACACTCCCCCCCCCTTGACTACATTAATGAGTCTAGGCAATTTTCCTGACAGCAATTTTAGATTTGACATTGCCTTCTTCCTAGGGATAAGAGAATGCAACTGGCCTCACTGGCTTCATGCCTAAAATAAAACTAGAATTCATGTTCTCCTAGTGCCTCACCTGGATCGTTAAACGCCAAATAAAACCATAGGCATATCTAATCCAAGCTTTTGTTTAATTATTTATTTTAAAAAGCTTATATAGCCATCCTTCTTATATATAATAATAACCCTGAGGAGCTCACAAGAGGACAATAAAGTATAAAAGAACCATAAAACCATCAGCGTCCCATTGGTGTTTCACCAAATGACGATTCATTGGGAAGCTCACAAACCCAGTCTAGATAACGATAGTCCTTTTCTAATGTTACTTCCCAGAAACAATAAGGCATGCTTGCTTATGATTCAGGAGGCATAAGCAGCATTAGCAGCCACAGAGTTTCTATGCTCCTGTCCAGCCTCATGTAAAAAAATAGTAATCTAAAATTCTAACATCATGAGATAAGGAGTTGATATTCATGTTTCCTGTATTCTATTATTCTTCCAAGCTAAAGAGCTTTGTCTTTCTTTACAGAGGCACTGCTCAAGCATTTTCATTGCCTTTACTGTAGCAAACTTAGTTTCAGTATCCCGAAGGTCAGTGATCAGAACTGTATATAATAATGCAAGGCTAAATTATTGGAATTGCTAGGGAGACTGGTGCAATATAATATAATGCCCTTAAAGCAGTGATGGCGAATCCTTTGGGTTTGGTGTGTCAAAAATTTGGGAAATATCTAAGTTGATTTTTCTGGTGTCTCTCTTCTGAACAAAAGAGAAACAATTCTCTGTCTCCCCTCCCATCTAGAACACCCTGAACTGCAGCATTTGGCAGCACCACCGAAGCTGGGCCTGAAATAGAGGCCTAGGCCTTGACTTAAGCCCTAGTGCCACTGCTGCCATTGAAAAAGGCTGCCTGGTGCCATTTCCAAGAGCTCCCCAGGATCTGCTACATATTCTATGGTGTGAGCATCTGCAGCCTACGTGAGAGAGGCCTCTACAGCAGGGGTGGGCAAATATGGCCCCTTGATGACCTGTGGACTTCAACTCCCAGAATTCCTGAGCCAGCTTGGCTGGCTCAGGAATTCTGGGAGTTGAAGTCCACAGGTTGTAAAAGGGCCACAGTTGCCCTGCCCTACGGCCTACCTGGGTTGTATGAGGCTTTAATTTTTTTTTTTTTTTTTTTTAATTTGATTTATATGCCGCCCTTCTCCGGAGACTCAGGGCGGCTTACAGTGCGTTAAGCAATAGCCTTCATACTTTTGTATATTTATACAAAGTCAGCTTATTGCCCCCACAAACTGGGTCCTCATTTAACCTACCTTAGAAAGGATGGAAGGCTGAGTCAACCTTGAGCCTTGGAGAGATTCGAACCAGCAGTAAATTGCAGGCAGCTGTGTTAATAACAGGGTGCTTTAAACCACTGTAGTACCAAGGCTCACTTTATTGAAGCACTTTTAAAGAATGCTCTTCTGCAGCTCTGCAACCTCTTAAAATGGTGCCAAAGCACATCCCGTTCCTGCACAATTTTAAATTGCTGCAGAGATTGTGTGAGAGCACATCCATTCTTGGTGGCTCACCCAAATGTCATGATATGTCACTTTTTACACGTGTCATAGGTTCGCTGTCACTGCCTCAACCAATTTATGATGAAACTGTAAGTATGGCTTCCTCACAGATTTGTTTTAAGAGACTTGTATTATATTGCACTACCCCCACAACAATTCCAACAAAATGATCCTTTTTATAGGAATTTCACATTGGCTCAACATTTCAATCAAATTATGTCTATAATGCCAAGATCCCATTTCCAAACATCACTGTCAGTTCAGATCCCATCCAATTAAAATTTGGATTTTTTGTGCCAACATGCTGCATTTTATGAGATTTTGCATTTCGTGTTGTGAAACCCGTTCAGCTAATTTAGCATTAGCCTTTTGGAGAATTTCACAATCCTGAATACTTTGGGTATTATTGGCAAACTGTATATTGTACTGCACTGCTCAGTCCTAACTACAAATTATATTCAATTTTAAAAGCACCAGTCCCAACACTACTCTCTGGAGTAACCCAATATGCACTTCTCCCCAGTGTGAGAACTGATTGTTTATTGCTCCTGTTACAGCTGTAATTTCCATGAAAAGATCTGTTCTATTATCCAGTGCAGGTGAGTTTGTTTAGGAGCCTTTGATAACAGTCTTTGTCACAGGCTTTTTTGGAATCCAAATATACAGTATCTGTTAACCTTCCTTGTCAATGGGAGAAGATTAAATTTTGCAGCAATATCTTTTTTTTCTTTTTAGCAAAGCTCATTCTAGCATCTCGACCCCTTTTAAAATATTGGAATAAGATTATCTATTTTCCAAGCTGTAGAAATCAGGTATAAAGCTAAGAAGTTGAATATTTTAATGAAAAAAACTGGCACTATTCCAATTCAACTATTATTTTTTTTCTTTTTTTCTTTATGCACTGTTAATATTAAGTTATTTCTATTTTTATTTATACTTTTAATCAGCTATTCTGTCAAACATTGCCACTGAAGAAGCTCGCCCAAATTATTATAATCAGTAACATAGCAAAGGCCCTAACTGCAAATTACAGGCTATGTAAGGCAAGAAGAAATATAAATTTAGGGGATTGAAAACAAAGGTAGCGGTAACGCTAAAACTAAGTGGAAAACTGTAAATATCCATTTATCATGTTTTTATTTTATGTAGGGCAATTTTAATGGATATCCAAAATATGGGATATAAATCTTTATGATCAAATATAAAGCAATCAGAGCTGTACATACGATTCCAATAATGAATGTAAGTTTTATTAGTGCAAGGACTAATGATATGCACATACTGAGATCCAAAGCAGAAAAGGTGCTTCTGAAAGACATGTTTGATGCATGTGTCAGCACTTTTTTTTTAGAAAACTGTATTTTATTCTGAACTTGTTTGGCAGCTGTACGGTCTCAGGAAACAAGTGTTTGAGTTATATCTTGTTCTTGCTCTATTAATTCAAATATGTATGAGCCCAGGAAAATGCATGGCTATTTTTGGACAGTGACACCAAGAGCAGAAAGTCTCCCCATAAGCTCTACAAAGCACTTTTTCTGTTTGGGAACTCAGTAGTTGTACTGTCTTGTGAGGTCATATTATTTTCAGTATCCTAGTAACATTAAACATGGAATTTGTTCTTTTACACCTAGTGCAGCATGTATGAATAAATATTTCATTGATCTAACCACTATGATCTTTACTTAACAGTCAAAGCTGTCTTGAGCTCTACTTTTTGGTATTGGAATTAACTTTTTCCATATATTTTTTGGCAGATTCATCCAGTTTGAAGGCATTTTAGCATTCTTTTTAGTGTATTTTTAAAAATTTCCTGAATAATGTATTGTCATTACAAACTAGGTTATCTAAATAATCATTTATTAATATCTTAAATAGATCAATCTCAAAAATTTCCCTTGCTTGCCCAGAACAGTCTTTCATTGCTTGATGTTCTCTAGATAACTTTGCAATCCTTAAAATTCCTATGGGCAGCTGAGATAAAAGATTAGAATTGGAATGGGAAAAATAACTTTTACAATAATGTGCTTTTAAAGTCATTTCTTCCAGACTCTAGTTTAGAATTATGATGCCTTTTTCAGACATTGCCGCTTTTCTATTCCATTTAATTCCTTAGTTACAATTTTATTTTTTTGTTGTTATTTGAAGGAAAGCAAATTTAATCCACAACTATATAATTGGACAAAATACACTGTAGCTATGGAATGATGCAGCTGGGAGCAGTTTCACTGTTAATTTGGAATGTGAGTATTAATTAAGAAGAGTAAATGAAGAATTTAATAAAAACATTTACAACTAGAACTGCTAGTTTTATTAAACATCTCTGCAAAATATCTTTCTACTGTCTTAACTTTATTCTTTATCCTATATTCTGGAATTAAGACATTTTAATATCACTAGTCCTCTATCATAACTACAATTTATCTGATGTAAAGCATCAACATTTTCTATTTACTTTTCAAAGTTTAAAATAGAAATTTATAATTTGGAAAATTGAAATTTACAAGTTCAATTCTGAAATCTAAGTTAAAAGTATCTCATAAGCTGCCATTTCCAGGCAAGGTGGCTTGATATTATCAATTTTTCACTTTTACATGAAATAATATAACTGTATTTTGTTAAATTTATATTATTTTAAAGCAAAAACACAATTAGGAGTCAATAAAAGACTGCTTATTAACAACATTCCAGTTTCGGTATTTCAGCTGTATTGTTATTTATTTAGCTCTGTAAATATTTGAAATATAGTACCATTCTGAATACATTACAGACTATTCAAACAGATTTTATAAATCAAACATTATCTCTGAATTTCTCATCGAATTAATTTGGAAATTAGGAATTATTAAAACTAAAACATTTTCTTTGCAGACTAGCAATACTAGTATTATGTTAGTGCTTGACTTGAGCAACAAATACAAACAATTTTATCAATAAAAGTTTCATATACCCTGTTTCCCCAAAAACAAGACATCCCCTGATAATAAGCCCAGTCGGGCTTTTGAGCACATGCGCTAAAATAAGCCTCCCACTGAAAATAAGTCCTCCCCAAAAATATTTAAACACAGACCTGGAAATCAGGTAAGACGGCAAGAGGAGCCCCATCTTGCTCCACGCGCCCCAAAATAATAAGACCTCCATGAAAATAAGGCCAAGCACTTATTTCGGGGTTCAAAAAAATATAAGACAGGGTCTTATTTTCGGGGAAACACGGTATATATTCTCATGGTGAATATACATGGCAGTTCTGCCAAAATAAAGTCATTCCAAGTTTTCTATTTTGATGCAAGAAGAAAAAAAACCCAATGGAATGTCTCCAAGAAAATTGACTTGTTTAGCATCTATAAAATAGAACATATACTGTATATTACATCAAGTCTTGTTATATCAATTAAGGATCTTTTCCCATATGTACCTAATCACAACATGAACATGTACTGGGAGCCTATCTGTTCATGATATTTCCTTCATATTATCTGCAACCTGTATCTAAGGTAGTTTAAAGCTGTTTGGTGCTAAGGTAATGCTTTTTCTTTTAAGCAAGCAACAAACTGCAATGTTGCTATGAATACAACCTGACATATTTCACTATATTTCATAGGTGATGCCTAATAAGTGGAATTTCCTAATACATTCATAGCAGGCCAGAAAGCAAGATGTCTCTGAGGACAGATAGAAGGTGCTCTCCAATGAAACTATATTTATGCAGTTGCTGGTAGGTACTGAAAAAGGATTGGGATTAAAAATATAACAGTCCCATTATACAGGTCTGGTGTGAATTTTCCATTTTCCGTCTCCAATTTCATAGGCATTTTATGGCATTAAAAAAATTGTGACAGTCTTATAAAAAGACCAATTTTTTCATTCAGATGTGTTGTCACTACTGAACTAAGTGGCTAAATACGCTTTTTAAAAATTATGTTAGTAAAATGTAAGGAATTTGCATAGCAGGCTCATACCTTAAAACTGAATTCTTACTTTTCCATGGAAATGACAGAAATGATCTTATATCATTGTTCTTGAGACATCTAGTCTCAAGACATGCTAATTTTAAAGAATTAGTAGCCAAGTTGTATCATACTTTATAAGACAGGAACAGTTTTTCCCGAATGCCATCACTCTATTAAACAAATAATTCCCTCAACACTGTCAAACTATTCACTAAGTCTGCATTACTATTACTATTAATCTTCTCATCGTTCCTATCATCCATCTCCTCCCACTCATGACTGTATGACTGTAACTTGTTGCTTGTATCCTTATGGTTTATATTGATTGTTTCCTATTTGTACCCTATGACTATCATTAAGTGTAGCACCCTATGATTCTTGACGAATGTATTTTTTCTTTTTATGTACATTGAGAGCATATGCATCAAAGACAAATTCCTTGTGTGTCCAATCACACTTGGCCAATAAAGAATTCCATTCCATTCCATTCCATAAGAAGAAGCAAAAAAGGAGAAAACGTATAATAGAACAGCACACGGCTGTGCTGTTGTGACAACATACATGACTACTGGAAGAACTTCTGTCTTTCTTCCTACCCAGAAATATCTAATATTTGGCTGAATCAAAGGTTCACAACGAGCTCAAATCTCTGTCACTGAAATTGTTGCAAAATTTCCCAGAACATGACTTTTTCAAATTTAATAGAATAGGTAATCAACTACATTCTGATTTATTCTATATATCAATTGCAACCTTATATTGGTTTTTCAGAAGCTCTTGGGTTACCTAGATGTATTGGCCCAATGAGTTCCAATAACTTCGGGCAGCTCGAGAAAAGCAATGTTCTTTTTTGTTTTTACTCCATTATATTGTTATTCTGTTTTCTTTTCAGAATTCCTTCTGGTAAATGAGCTGCTATCTAAGTTTATTGAATAGATATTTTTTTTATTTGATTTATATGCCGCCCTTCTCCGGAGACTCAGGGCGGATTACAATGCGTTAAGCAATAGCCTTCATACTTTTGTATATTTATACAAAGTCAGCTTATTGCCCCCACAATCTGGGTCCTCATTTTACCTACCTTAGAAAGGATGGAAGGCTGAGTCAACCTTGAGCCTGGTGAGATTTGAACTTGCAGTAATTGCAGGCAGCTGATGTTAATAACAGTGCTTTAGTCTGCTGCGCCACCAGATATATATTTAAGTTACATAAACAGCTTCAACTTGGCATGTTTTATATTTATTGTGGTTCATACAAATACTGCATGGGAAAGGTCTGATGTACAACCACTGGCATCTCTAGATGTAGCTTAAGAAAGCTATAATACATGATGCCATAGAAAGTGCTGTTACCCAATGTAAGCAGCAATGAATTTGATGGACCTGTAGTCTGATAATAAAAGCCAGTTTCTTCCTGCAAAGTACCAATTACAATCTTGACATTTCAGGTATCCTTTTAAAGCATAAGAACAAATTGAGCCATAGATCTATGCACAGTAGGGTCCACAAGTTTCATTACACTAAAAGCCACTCCAAAAGTAGATAAATTGGGTCCCAAGAGTAGACAGTTCTTGGCCACAAAGGTAGACATGGCCACAAGCAACTTATTTCAAACATTATACCAAACTGGAAAATATAAACATTTAAGTATATAAACTGCCAGCAATACAAACAATAAGTAGGATCAACTCATGTAATGTATTATATAAAATTAATCTTTAAAATATAATTTCCATTCTCCTCCCAAATAAAAGATACCAAAAGTTTGTTACTTGTCCTTTCCTCCCTTTTCTTTTTACACAAAATGCTCCTTTCAGATACAGAACATACATGCTCTCTCTCACACACACATGAATACTGTTTGTATCCTCAGTTTCTCAAAAATGGGAAAAGGGGTACTGAAATCAAGTGTGGGAATGAGAATAGACATATAAAAGTGAGACGAAAAATGGCTAATCAAGGAAATGCCCTCTCTTCTTCCACCTACAATAAAAGCATCTTATTTTCCCTATACCTAGCACACTTGGAAAAACAATGTTTTTTTTCCCATTTCATGAAGGTAGAACAAAAAACTTTTAAAACATAACAATGAAATAATTCAGGAACCTCCTGTATTTTTATTCTCTATGTAAAATTCTGGAATTTATTCCTTCTTCTGATTGATCATGCAAGTAAGGAACTCAGTAGCAGCAAATCTACAGTCCACAATCCTTGTTTTCTCTCTCTCTGAAGAAAAACCCAAACTCCAAACTATGAGATGTGGAAAAGAAAAACCAGCAACAACAAACACCTCTAAGGAGATGCTCTAGAAAGAAGTTGTGTGGGAAGGCAGATGCTTTCTGCAGGCTGCTCCACTTTGCAGGCAGACAAAATGTCTCTGGAGATTTTGTGAGGATGAAAAAAGGAGGGCAGGACTGATGAAGAGAGGCAGAGAAACACCATAGTGAGAAAAACGGGCTCTGCATAGGTAGAAATGTTGGAGGGATGTTGGGTTAATGAATGAGGAAGTCAGAGAGAGGAAGAAAGGGCACTGAAGGAGAGACAAAATAGGCAGGAGATATACAAAAAAAATTAAGCAGAAAATATAACACACACCCAGAAAGAAAATGACAAGATTATTAGAGAGCTGAAAAAGGTAATAAGGGATAGTAGGAGAAAATGCAGTTTCCAGAAATTGTTAATCACATTTTGACTAGTGTCTGTCTGTCTGTCTATGAATCTGCCTTACTCCAGAATAACTTTAGGTGGATTACACTTAAAATAGAAAACTAATAAAAAAGAATCTAAGAGTCCAGACAAATTATGCAATGTAGAGTTCCATAATACCCTATCCCAAGGCCTGGGAAAGGTTTTTGGAATACAGTCAGATGGAAGTTGAATAGATCTCAGGGGGATATCTTTCTAGAATGCAGGAGGCATTCTGATCTTAATATATGGCATTGTAATGGTTGTGGGAAAGACCTTGGGAGACAAGGGAACAGTTGGGTAACAGACAGTATACCTTGCAGCAGGGCAAGAGTGTCAGAAAAGAACTTCCCTAGTTTTTTGAGCTTTAAGAGACCCATGGGGTGGGATGGGGGATAAGGGTCGTTGGTCTTACCTGACATGCTCCTTCTCTGTGAGTGATGGGAGAATCCAAGGATGGGTTGACCCTTGCCTTTCTGCCCAGAGACCAAGTTGACAAAGTTTAGCCACACCTCCTCTGTTTGTCTGAGCCCAGTTTTCGTCGAAGGCATAGTCCTATATTAGACACAGTTCCGGTTGCGATAATGGCCATGCCTGGACTCTGGACCGGACGGTCGCCAGGGTGGGTTTGGATTCTCCAGTCACCCACAGAGAAGGAGCGTGTCAGGTAAGACCCATGCCCCTTCTCCAGTGTGGTGACGGGAGAATCCAAGGATGGGACAAACAGAAGCTGGCAGCTCAAATGGGGTGGGTAGCAGTCTGGTTCAGGGTCCCCTAGGCTGTATGAACCTTTTGGAGAACCCTCCTCCTGAAAGCCACCTCTGCTGACACGAAGGTATCCAGTTTGTAGTGTTTGATAAATGGCGATGGGAAAGACCATGTCGCTACCCTACAGATGTCCTCAATTGAGGCCTGCGTAGCCAGTGGTGGGTTGCTCCCAGTTCACACCAGTTCGCAAAAACTGATAGTAAAAATTTGTAGTAGTTCTGAGAACCAGTAATAACATTGGCTGGCCACGCCCCCTGAACCGGTCCCCGGCCCAATCGCCGCTCACTTACCCTACCTCATCAGAGGCTTTTTTTTTTACTTTTAAAAGCATTTTTTCTACAAAATTAAGAGGTTACAGAAAAAAATGCTTTGAAAAGCCTTTCTGACGATCAGGCAACTCAGTCAGAGGCTTTTCAAAGCATTTTTCTACAACCTCTTCAGCTGAAGAGGTGGTAAAAAAATTGCTTTGAAAAGCCTCTGACGATCCTAGCTGAGTTGCCTGATCGTCAGAAAGGCTTTTCAAAGCATTTTTTTCTGTAACCTCTTAATTTTGTAGAAAAAATGCTTTTAAAAGTAAAAAAAAAAAGTTGGCCACGCCCACCCAGTCACTACCCCCACACTACCCCCACAAAATAAGCCACACCCACAGAACTGGTAGTAAAAATTTTTAGAACCCAGCCCTGTGCATAGCCCATGCGGCCGTCGTAGCTGCACTCGTGGTTGAATGAGCAGTTATTCGCCCGGGCAATGGAATGGCCTGAGTCTCATAGGACTTGACGATACACGCCTTATCCAACGACCTATGATTGATGGCATTGGGAAGAAAGGAGGGATCCAGCCCAGTGGTGGGTTCTAACCAGCTTTACTACTGGTTCTCTTTGTGCACGTGCTTTGTGTGCGATCCCCTCTTCGGTCATGCGCTTCGCATAATGAAAACTCAGGAACCTTTCGTAGAAGGGATGGATAGGCATGTGCAGGTAAGCCTCCGTCAGATCCAGTGATGTCAATAAATCGCCTTCTCGGATGCCTCCTAGGATGGAATGTAGGGAGTGCATCTTGAATCGTTTGTATACTAGGTGACAGTTCAATTTTTTTGAGATCTAAAATTGTTCTCCACCCCTCCAAGCTCTTTGGAACTAGGAACAGGATTGAATAAAACCCTAGTCCCTGTTGGCCCTCTGGAACCAGCTTGATGGCAAGGATATCCAACAAATGCTGGATAGCCACTTCCATGAGGCCTTTCTTTATGATGTTCTGGGAGACAGGGCAAGGAATAAAGTGCCTCGGGGGTGTGGATAGGAATTCAAGAGTGAGGCCTTGCCTCACTCTGTAGCACCTAGGTATCTGATGTTGTTTCCTCCCATTGGTTCACGATTAGGCTTAGGTGACCGCCGATGGGGAATCTGGGGTGACAGTCACTTAGATCAGTGAAAGGGCCCCCGAAATGGTTGCTTGGCCTGAAATGGCTGTCGGCCTCTGTCACGGAATCCAGGTTGGTCCTCACGGTTGGTTCTCTGGAAATAGGGCCGCTGATATTGAGGAGCATCAAGTCCAGTGTCTGCAAAACAAAAGGATGGTCTGCGGAAATAAGGCGAGGGCTGGCGGTCAACTCGCCTGTGAATGGAAGGGAGAACCTTCCACCTATCCTTGTTTTCTACAAGGATAGGGTCCAGCGCCTCTCTAAAAAGGTTTCTACCCCTAAAGTGAGTAGAGGCTAGCCTCCATTTGGAGCGCATGTCGGCCTGCCAGTGGAAAATCCACAGCAGGCGGCGCGATGTGATGGAGGAGGCCATAGCCCTGGAGGCGAACTTAGCCGCGTTAAGAGTTGCATCGGCTGAAAACTCAGTGGCCGCCACCAGTTTGTTTATGTCCTGGTGAAGTCGTACTCCGTCAGGTGGGACCCTCTCCTGCATCTGGCACAGCCATATCAGGGAGGTCCGATTGAAGAATGAGGCTGCTGTTGCACCTCTGATCACCCAGGCCGCCGCTTGGTGTGTCTTGCGGAAAGACATCTCCGCCTTCCTATCTTCCGCCTTCAAGCCCTTCACTATGTCAGTGGGTAAAATGGCAGGAGAAGCCAGGGTCACTTCTGAGCATCCACTGATGGCAACTGGAGAAGCTCCATGAGGTCAGGACCCATGTTAGGATCCAGTCTCTTGTCAGTCCCACTGGGAGTGGGAAGAGACCCAGGGTGATCCCATTGTCTCTGAACTACATCCAAAAAGAGGTTGGGAGATGGTATCACCTTTTGTTCTGCAGTAGGTTCTGAGAACAGAAGTTGTCTCCCCTGCCATATGGGGAGTTTTTTGGCCTTGTAAAGGAGGGACTTAAATAATGCAGTACGAAAAAGACCCGTGAAGGCAGGAGGATCTGGCTGCAGGCCCTTGTCCTCAGATAGTGCCAGCTCCTCCTGATCTTCATCTCCCATGAGTGAGTCCTCACTGCTCATGGAGGGATGTGGGGAAGGAGATCCCTGGCCAGATGCCATATGTTGTGGGCAGCTGAGAATGTGGGGGCAGCCGCAGAGGGGAATCAGGTGCCAATGAATAAGTTTGGCTTTTCTGTTGTAGCCCTGCTGCTATGCCCTGCGATATATCCTCTGAAATAAGTCTTCTTATTTTCTGGGACAGTTCAGGCACCTGATCCTCCCTGGGGTGCAGTCCTGCCACTGTGGGAGTGAACGTGGCTTCAGGAGTAGAGCCCCTCTAAGCTGCAGTGGACTCCAATGCTGCTGTTGCTAGGCAGGAAAAAGGATCAAGCTCTCTTTTGTAGCTGTCTGGATTGAAGGTCTGCAGCTCTCTGGCACCATCTGGTGACCAGGCTTGCTGTCTTGTATCCTCAGCCCAAAGCAACAGTTCAGGTGGCAGAGATTGCAGAATGACAGGTGGCTCTAGAGAGGAGATTGGCTGTCTGTCTCCCACTGCCTGTCTTTGGACTTCGGAAAAATGTTTCTCCAGTGCTCTTTGTCGCCTTTTAGCGTCCTTGTCCTCAGCTCTAGGCGGCTTTTTGGAGCAGAAGGCTTCTGCCCTCATTTTATCAGCTGCTCCCCTGCTGGCCAACTGCCTTTTGGCAGATGCGGAAGGTTTCTTCGCTGGCAATTGTCGCGATGGCGAACGTTCAGCGGGCACGGTATCTCCTTCAGAGTGAGATCCACCATTTTGTTGATAGCTAGGCTTGTTCCTGTCAGAGGCGCTGTCATGCTTCCCTGGAGATATTAGTGGAGTATGCCCCGGTCTCAGCCGGGTAGTAACTCCAATTGCAGCCTTCTGCAGTCATAGGGAGCTAAATGGTGGTGGCGGCCTCGCAGGACGGACTGGGAAAGGCCAGCACACTCACTGCGGCTGAGCAGCCTGAAAGGCACGAAAATACCAATGCCGGTACCTTGGGTGTTGAAAGAAGCCACAACCCCGGAGTATGCCCCGAATGATCGGGGATTGACTCCAAAGCTGCCCTCTAACCAAAGGGGAGTCCAGGGTGGTGGCGGTCATGCCAGACAGACTGGGGAGACCAGTGCACTCACCAGCGGCTAAATGCTTCTTGTACGAAGTCCGAAGCACGCTCCGCAGAGCATACCCCAAATAATCAGGTATTGCCTCCAAGCTGCGACCCGGATCAGTTCAGGGCGGTAGTAGTTGTGCTGGATGGACCAGGGGGACCAGCATATTCACCCCATGGCAAAACGTCCTGAGGCGCGATGTCTGCGAAGCACCGAAAGACGGGCTTAGCGCAGTGGCTATGCTACCACACTAGGCTAAGTGATTTCTCCTTTTGAAAACGTCTTCTAGACTCCAGGTGGTGGGAGAATCCAAGATGAATAAGCTTTCTGTCCAACTGGGAAAAGAGCAAAATTTTTCACGTCTCTCTAGGGCAAGACTGAGTTGAAAAACTGGGCTCAGACAAGCAGAGGAGGCATGGCTAAACTTTGTCAACTCAGTCTCTGGGCAGAAAGACAAGTGTCAACCCATCCTTGGATTCTCCAGTCACTACAATGGAGAATTGTACTTTCACACTTGCAAGATTGATGTCAGCCTTGCAGGGTAAACCAGATAGAAATCACAACCAGATGTGTACTTTACCAATTGTACTTTATTGTAAAGTTATACTGACAGAATTTCACATGTCTGAAAGTGACCATATTTTCTTGGAAAAAATAAAGGGTGACCTAAAAAAAGGGCAAATCTGAAAAAGATTCATATGGATAAAAATTTGTGTTTATAACTCTGTTTTACAAAAGAAACTTCAAGAGCAAAATGAACAAACTAAAAATAAATGTAAAAATCAGCTTTCTGAAATAAATAATTGTCCTTTATAATAAGAAGTGTATAGTCATTATAGGTATAAGTCAAGTAATAAAAAATACGTTATAAAGGAAATTTAGTATGATTTTATCCATCATCAAATCATCCTCCATTTTATTTGGTTCAGTCTCCTTTCTCTTCAACTGTCCCTTTTAATTTGTGTTAACTTTCTACCATTGTTTTTTTCTACCAACTTTGAACTGATTTATAAAAATACTGATGTTTTGTCAGATTCACCTCAGTGACCACTGTTAGTATTAATATTTTTTCATCAGTCATCAAGTATGAGTCCCTTTGCACCAATAAGAGATCGAAGTCCAACCCATCTTGAATTCCGTTGACTATGATCCGCCACCTATTTGCTTTGACCACTAACAGTTCGGATTTTGTAGAGAGCATTAGCATACAATAAGCCTATATTCATCTGAACTGCCTCGACTCCCAATTTCCTGTGCTTGACAAATAACCTTTGTTCAATTTTAATTCCAACATAGTGCCTTCAAATATTATTTCTAACTCCAAGTGTCTTTGCAGCAAGCCAGATCTAAGCACATTTTCTCTACAATGCCTTCTTTTCACAAAACCATTTTCTGAACTATCCAAGTTTACCATTACATTTTAAATGAGACCTGACATTCTCCTCACTCTCCCACCAAATAATTAATTTATAATTGGTCATCTAAGAGAGCTCTTATACTTTTTAGATATAAAAATGTCACAGTTCATGTGACATGTTCATTACACATGTTACTATTGTCAATTATGATTACTTAGAATTAAATAACAGTAATCAAAAAGGTTTGCTGACAATTTTATGAATTCTGGAGAATTTTGGGATTCCTTCTGTAAGTAATTTGGCACCGTAAACATATAAAAACATAAACATATTAAAACAGAATAACCTTTTGATATTGTGAAGCCTAAGAAAAGCAAAATGACAATAATCCATAATTATGACAATCCATAAAGGTTCCATATTTCCTGTTATACAAATATCTAAAATAAAAAGATTATGAATAGAATGAAGTCAAAAATGGAATGCAAATTCTATTCTATTAAAAGAAAAAAAATTAAAATGGTACAAATGTTTTAAAAATGATATGAAATCATGACTTCACTGGGGAACGTTGGATAAGCCAGTTGCCGTTTGCAACTGTATAGTTGTTTCTTCAAATCAAAGCCATGATTTTGGTTTTGTGAGGTGCAAATTCTCCATCTAGTCTACACAATATTGTGCTTGCAGTTAGCATCTACTAAAAGTAGAAACTTTTCCATTATATATCTATTATTGTACAATCTGTCTGCTTACCTGGCTAATATAGTTTCATTCAATTCTAGAGTTTCACATAAAGCAAAAAGTTCCTTCAGAGCACACTTTCACTTTTTCATATTTATTCTACATGATATTCAGCACATCACTTGAAGTTTGTATAAATGAGAAGGTAATTGTGAATGCTAAGCACAAAATCTCTATATTGTAGAATATTATTCGACAACATTTTCATGTACGTTTAACCATCTTACTATATAATAACATAAGCAAGCAAATAAATAAATAAATAAATAAATACATGTACCTGTAATTTTATCTCTTACAAGTTTGCAGGATTCTATTTCACCAATGCTCCCAAAAAGGCTCCTGAACTCTTCTTGGGTCATGTTCTGGGGTAAGTAGTTGACTATGAGGTTGGTTTTGCTGTCATCTGTAGCTGCCCCTGTCTGCATAGGGGAAGGGCAATTTCGGCTGTTGCTGGCAGGACCATTGGTTGTATTGGATGTAGGGCCATTTGACACCTGAGGCTCCATGGTGCTAATTATCTATGCAGAAAGAAAAGGTGGAAAATATCCCTTCAATCCTTAGAGATACAGTTGCTATTTTAAAAACATACTTACAAGTGAACAAGTAGGTAGCATTCATAGCCAATTTAAGACAGTTTTCTTTAAAAAAAAAATCAGCTTGGTCCTTCTGCTATTGTTATAAAGTAGGTCATGCTAGTCTTTGGCAGAAAGCATATAGTAAGATGCAGAGACAAATACAACCTCCTTTCTTTTCCCCTATTAGTTTTGTTAATTCAAAGCTAAATTTTCTTTTCATGATGCATCTGAATGTACAAATTTAACTATGATCCGAGGTATAATAACTGTGATTAAAATTACGAATCTATTTAAGAGGAAGAGTCCCATGAAGAAATAAAAGCTGAAAAAGTAAACATATATTACCTTTTTAATTATTGCGACACCTAGTATTGTGACAGGTTTATTTGGCCCATTCAAACTAAGAAAGCTATTACTGTGATATTATGAGTTTGAAGCAACAGCCTTTTAGCTTTATCAAGGACACTTATTTACATCAACAAAGCATCTATATTCTTGGCCACCAAAGATTTCTTTTGATTCTTTATTAAATAGAACCGAAACTTATAAAGTTTTAGAGCGGAAGGCAACATTTCACTCATCAAATCCACCCCCCGTTTGGTGCAGAAAACCAAATCAAAGTGTCCCAAAAATAGCTGTTTTGCTCTGTTTAAACACTACTAGTGAGGGATGACTTAGCATCTCTTTGGATAATTGATTCCACATCTGAATTGCTGTTACTGTTGGAAGCATTTTCTTCTCAACTTTCAATGGTAAACTGACATCCTATAATTTAGATCTATCATTTTGTGTTTTACACTCTGAACTTATACATATTTTCTATTCAACAGCTTTTCAGAATTTGAAGAATGTTGTCATCTCTCCACTCAGTCTTCTCAAAACTAAAGGTTTCCATATCCTTCAATCTCTCTTCAAGATCTTTGTTTCTACTGTAGTTCCCTGATCATCTTTGTTCATTTCTGTAATTATCAAATTTTATTTATCTTCCTAGTATGTTAGTTATCCCACCTTTGTGTCACCAACAAATATGATAAGCATTCCTTCCACCTCTTATTTAAGTCATTTATAAAAATGTTGAAGACTGTAGCTAAACCTTATGACAATCTACTAAGTATCTCCTCCAGCCTAATGAGAAAACCGTTGATCCCTTTTCATGTAAGATTCTCAGTTCAACTATATATCCATTTAAATGTCATCCTCTGTAGTCCAAACGTAACTAATTTGCTAATGAAAAAGTCATGGGACTATTAAATATTTTGCTGAAGTCAAGACACAGTGCCTCTTACAGTACTCCCACAATTTATCAGAGAAATTATCAAATAAAAAAAAAAGTCATAAAATTAATATGGCAAGACTTGTTGTAAGCTAGCATTTATAAATAAACCAATATTACACAAATAAACTTAAATTAATACAATGAAACTTCACCTGTTGAATAAAAGTGATTTTTACAAGATTCAGAAACAATAAGAAAAAGACTTAATAAACCGTTGTTCTTTTAAGACTATATATCTTTTAAAACACACAGTGTTCTTTATGCAACTCAAAAGGGTAAAGTTTCTTAAACATTGTAATTTATACCTATGACATACAACACAGCATGTAAAGTTAACGATGGCTTAGGACTGTTATAGATTTCTACAGCTGCCTTTATTCAAAGACAACCAACACTTTTATTGCCTATTTCTTCCTCACCTGCTGTGGAGAAAAGAATTCTTATAGCAGTAGGTACATAACAAAATATGCTATTGTTATTTATTTATTTATTTAAAACATTTGTATAGCCAAATATTATATTTGTGTGCTACCACTTCATAGGTTCTAGGAGGCTTACACCTATAAATGTGACAAGATATGGTGATGATTAATTAAACTACTATGATGGCTAATCCATGCAATCCCTAGGAGGTACTGTCAGCCTTATGTGACACTTTACTCTTCAAATGCTCTGTAGAAAAACAGTCATCACTGTTTTTGTGAATGACATCAGTGAAGAAACCTCATGTATATTGTTCTAGAGGAAGATATATAGCAGGACAGTGGGAGTGGGCACACTAGTTATCCAAATGAAGCTGCACAATTACCAATAGTGGTTTTGTTCTGTACCTAAGCTAAAACCCAGAGTGGAAAAAATCCAGAATGGCAAAGTAATAGCCAGAACCATTGGCATGAATTTGTGAGAAGCTTGTCATGCATTTCAAATTAAAATTAAAACTTTAGATTTATGCATATACACAATCCTAAAAGCATTTCTACACTAATTCTTTGAAGAACCTCACATTTTTCAAAAGACTAACTTGAAAAAGTGGATTACATGAATCTCAGCTGAATTACCATAATGACTGGAAAAGTATAACCGCAACTACACCATGGAGGACATCTGGACCCTACATGGAGTAAATACAGGTAGTCCTCAAGAAATCACAGGCCACTTAACAATACTTCAAAGTTACTACTGACATCCCCCAAACTACATGACTCTATTTCAAAGTAATAGCAGGAGACTCCATGTGCATCAGTAGTGGGAATCTACCAGTTTGGACTGGTTTGGACGAACCGTTAGCTCCAACTTTCAGCCGTGAGCGAACCAGTTCTCTCTTTCTTTGAAGTGGGCCCGCCCGCTCCTGCGTTATATTCACCTTTATTTCTGCTTCCGAAGCCCAACTGATTGGGGCAGCAGAGTGGATTGCCACTCCTCAGCTGTTTTCCTTGCTCTCAGCAAATTCAATTTTCTGCAAACTGCGCACGCAGTGAAGCAGTTGTTAAACCGGTAGGATCCCACCACTGATGTGAATTAACTTAGACTTTGCACTCTTGGAGTTGTAGTGGAACTCATTCAATGTCTTCTCATATTCTTCTCTCTCCCTTAGCTCCACCACTACAACCATTTGCTCTGATACACTGGCTCTGAGACCAAACCAATCATAGGGGCAACATGTAGGTTATGTTTTAGCCAGCTGATCATATGGCCTAGACAGAAAAGAGGGTTATTTTTATCTACTTATCATGCCAGCATCTATTGCCCAAATATACTGCTGTACTTTTCTTTCTTTTTTGTTGTTGTAAATATCTTGTGAAGAAGCTGGACTTTTTGAAAACTTTTTTAAAAAGCAGGTGGAATGTTTTACATTTGAAAATGCAAGAGTATTCTGCTCGATCTGCTCATCTAATGATGTAATGTGCCTGTTCATTCTTTAGTGAACTATTAATGCATCAACCCATTTTTCTTACAAAGGCATGCTTAAACTTTTGGTTTGGCTTATTTGTTGCAATTTTTCTTCAGTGTTAGAAAAAGGATTGTTTTGCTGAGCAAGATATGCACTTGACTCAAAATATTTTTTTTTTTTTAATTTATGCTACACTATAAAATAATTGCTTTTCCCTCTTGTTTGATTTTGGTGGCCAGTAAAGGAAAGAGGGTAAATTTGCAAGTTCACTTCTAAATTATTAGGGTAAATGGAGACAAGTTTAGGGTTAGACATAGTCATGAGACCTAGACGAGGTTTATTAAAAACATTTTGAAAGTGCACGTTTGGAATTAATTAAATATGAATTATTTAGCATCAGGTCCTTCTGACTTGGAAGAGGTAACTGACCAAAAATGTTTTGTGTGAGAGAAAAAAATTATAGTTTGTCTTTTCACTTTCCCTTTAAACACAAACTTATACCATCTCAATCTCCAAGAGCACAGTCAGTTTAAGGGTTAAAGTTACCCAATGTCCAGCTAGATCTTTGTAGCAGAGGATTATTCTGAATCCCACTGTTTCTTTTCCCAAAATATCTGACACTGTTTTGGATTTTATTTCAGTCACACCCAGACTAAGCAAAGCACTTCATATTTTGTCCAAACCATAGGCAATCTGGACCAGGTGGATAAAACTTATGGAACATATTATTATTTGGAGCTCAAAGCACTTTGTTAACTGACCACAAAACTGGCAAGGCAAGCTACTATATTATAAGTAGGGAGCAAACCCCATACTCATTTGCAGTGATGATGTTACCTACTTGGTTAATGAAATGTTTGCAAGCAATCAACCAAGCTCAGAGAGCACCAAGGAACTCCATAGTTCGATCTTGAATTACATATATTCTGTTCTATTGAAATGTACTGTAAATTAGCAGTCAGTAATGTAGCCTTGAAGTCCTTGGAAAAGATATGGTGTGATTTGTAGTTACCTACAAAGATCAGAATCATATAGGCAATTATTTTTCTTGTGACACTCTAAGGAAGTGGGGACTTTAAAGAAGCAGGACAGAAAGAATATTGATACTTTTGAACTTTGATGTTGAAGGCAAAAGTTTAACTATCAATAATATTGTTGATGAATTCTGCATTTGATATACAGTAGTCAATGACAGAGTAAGAGGTAGAAGCAATCTCAACATGATTTGCCAAGCAAAGCCTTTGTTTTTCATCTAACTAAATGGAAAGCATCACCAAATATCTATATTTGAATTTTTTTTTAAAAAAAGGTTAGTATTTGTTATACAAAGAGAAACAGAAAATAATACTGTTTCTTATTTGAGTTGAAAAGATTATCCTTGTAGGTTGAAATCAGTGAAAGATCTATACATTTCTAGACTCTCAATACCACTTAACATATACATATTTAAAGGTACATGTTGTTAATGCTGTTGTGGTTAAGTAACAAACTTCAGAAAGCTAATTGGTCCATTTTCACCTAGATAAGAAGTGTGATCTTGAGAAATTTCAGGAAGTGCAGAGATGTTAGCTTACAAAAAATAAAACTGCTAAGGTAGCAAGTTGTAAGCTGTGATTGTCCCACAG